ATGTCCCCATACTCGGGACGCAGACGTGCGTAACAGTTCATACTACGTTCCTGGGGTCGCACGTGCCCAGGGAACACACTAACAAAATTTTAGCACCGAAGTTTGTGTGACTGGCAAGTAGAAATACCCGGACAGATGATCACACACACAGGCAGGGTCGTTGCAATATGCGCTTTTACTGACTGTTGCAGCGTTCTAGCGCCGCACAGCAAAAACGCTTAATAAACGTTCAACGTTTTCAGTTCTGAATCACTACTTATAGAAATGCCAACTATTTTAATCTACTAAGTTAAACAAATCTCACTGCTAAAAGTCCTGCTGCCAACAATGCGACGTCCACAACTTAAGAAATCAAAAATAGCAGTAATAACAAAGCCGTCCATACGACAGATTTGGGAATCCCACGTTAATGATGTCGCTGAGACACACATGCAAGCCGTGTGCACCTGTGCTAGGTTCATCAATCCTAAACTGCAACTGATACTCACCAAAAGATCAATATATAATTATTTAACAGTTCCTGCCAATTTTTTGTTGCTCGTTTTTGTTTTTTAGATCTTTTACTGCGCAACTTTTTAACTCGTTTCTGATTATCTGGTAATCATAAAAGAGTACCTGGGCGCTGCTGATGCGCTCGCCCATCTGAAGAATGCTTGGGTCAAGCACAAGACGCTGCTCGATTTTTTGTGCAACCAGTTGCATCACCTTTGTTATGTTCCCCTCCATTTCGACCTTCAACTGAGCATCCCATTCGACGCCTTCGATTTCCTCCTTTACTGCTGCATCGATCTACAACACAATGTGTAATGATAATTGCAGCAAGCCAGTGAACGAATTTCTCTCAAAAATCATCTATCCAAAAGACACTTTTTCGGCAGATGAACTTCCAAGACTGTTCTCCTCCAATGCGCTTTCCACTGCTTTGAACATCGCGCTCAGAGACTGGGAAAGAATGGCTCTGCGAAGCGGCCGGAAGCTCTGATCCAGAGGCTGTACAGCTTTCGCCGAATAAGCAGACAACGTTTTGGAAAGGAGCTGCACAAATCGGGATGCATATGGCGCGTTCTCAGGGACACGTTTCGAAACAACTTTTGCAAGCTGCTCGCAGAACTGCGTTATTATTTCGATGCTCAACAGTGA